GAATATTAACCAAAGCTGTCTTTGAAGTCCTCTTGTTTCCTACATTATCTCTGTTTCCAGATCCCTTTCGTTTATCTTTGTTTTGGGCTCTTTTAGAGATTTTCCTAAACTGTTTAGTGATTGCTCACAGTCTAGTATTTATTCCAAGAACAAGACACTAGAACTGTGATTAGAAGCACTGTCCCTGTGGGGAGGGAGCAGGGCTAGATGACTTGAGGGCTTCTCTCTAGAATGACTGAATGGTGAGCCAGCCTTTCGGTTGGGACATCCTCCAAAAGTCAGTAAGTGTCTTCTCTGGAGTTCCACGAATTTCTCAAACTATCCTCCAATTTCCTATCTGGGCTATGGCTGGCTACAGCCTGGGAATAGGATGGGGAAAAGGAACTTTACTTAATCTCAGTTTCCAGTCTAGTATCACATTCTCTACTCTGCACCTAGTGTTCCCATGTCCATAGGGAACGCTCTGGAGAACATACCTCCAGTCTTTTGCCTGAGAGGCTGACTGCTTGACTGTGCAGAGGAGCGGTCCCCTCACTCCTGTTATAGATTTTGAACCAACGCCCTCTTTGTGGCCCATGTCTCATCTGAAGCTCTGACAGCTTCTGACACTTCAGAGTTCTGAATCTCCTGGGAACTGCGAGGGACAATCTGCTTATCTGCTCATATGTATACTCTTTTATACACTTCAGTTTGTAGCATAATCCTGCTATTATAAATTGATGAATACTTCTTTAACTGCTTTTCTCATCACAAAGTCTTTCCAAATGTCTAATTTGCTATTTCTTTTCTCATCTCTTTGTCCTTGTAGGTTTACACTTTTAAAAACATTTATTATTCAGTTTAATAGAGTTTAGGCAAAGAGAAGAGGTAACTAGTTTACTCAGCATTATTACACCTTTCTAATGTTGAAGATTAGATAACGCAGAGCTCCTGGAATAATATCTGGCATTTAGAAAACTCAGAAAAGTAATTTTCTCAACTTAAAAAAAAACCAAATTATTGATTTTAAAATGAAAATGATTAAGATATGAAGAAGCAATTTAAAAAAGAGGAGTGATAAAAGCAATGCTTAATAAACTTGAGATTTAGAATTTAAAAAATTATAAAATGTTAGTCTCAAAGAGATCCTGGACACTATCTAGTATAAATAAGAAAATGGAATCCCAAGAAGTTACATGATTTTCTCAGTAAAAGAGCCTGAACAAAAAGAGAGTCCTGACTCCACAGTGAGCTTTCCATTCCCCCAGCAGATCAGGAAGTCGCCAACTGGCTACAGGGAGCTACCTGCTTGAAACTCAGGCACTAGGTTTGAAGGAGGAAGACAATTGTGAGAGAGTATTAAGAAGCATACATACAGTAAGCTTAAAATCCCCTCTACTCTATCTCTATCATCAAGGGCGGTTTCTTTTAAATCCACAGCTTCAAAGCCTTATCTGTATTGT